CCTGCCTCGGCCTCCCAAAGTGCTGGGATTACAGGTATGAGCCACTGTGCCCAGCCTATTATATTTTTTGGAGACAAAGTCTGGCTTTGTTAGGCAGGAATACACCCAGGCTGGAGTACAATGGTGTAATCATGGCTCACTGCAGCCTTGACTTCCTGGGCTCAAGCAATCCTCCCGCTCAACCTCCCGAGTAGCTGGGACCACAGGCATGCACCACCGTGCCCAGCTAATTTTTGTATTTTTTGTAGGGACAGGGTCTTACTTTGTTGTCCAGGTTGGCCTCAAATTCTTGAGCTGAAGCAGTCCTCCTCCTGCCTTGGCCTACTGAAGTGCTTGGATTACAGGCATGAGCCACTATGCTCAGTTTATTGTGAAAAATATCATGTATATGGCAGAGTATATGTATCTTACAGCTAATTATAAAACATATTGATAAACATCTGATGATCAGCACTCGGGTTAAGAAATAGAACATCAGCCAGGCGCAGTTACTTACACCTGTAAACCCAGCACTTTGGGATGCCGAGGCAGGCGGATCACTTGAGGTCAGGAGTTCGAGACCAGCCTGGCCAACATGGTGAAACCCCGTCTCTACCAAAAACACAGAAATTAGCCGGGCATGGTGGTGGACATTTATAACCCACTCGGGAGGCTGAGGTGGGAGAATCACTTGAACCCAGGAGGCAGAGCTTGCAGTGAGCCAAGATTGCCCCATTGCACGCCAGCCTGGGTGACACAGCGAGACTTTGTCTCAGAAAAAAAAAAGAAAAAAGAAAAAAAAAAAGAAATAGAACATTGCTAGAACCTTAGAATCTTGCTGTGCTCCTCTTCCACTATATCCTCATCTTCCCCTCTCTATCCAGATTTTTGTATTATCATTTCCCTGGAATTCTTTATGGCTTTGTCAGCTGTGTATGCATTCCTTTAAATACGCTGTGTTTTTTTGCCCTTTCTGAACTTCATAATATATGGAATTATACTACATGTGTTGTGACTTGCTGCTTTAGTTCAATGTCAATTTATGAATTCATCCATGTTAATGGGCATAGATAGCTATTAGCTGTTAATTTTCATTGCATTCTGATATTCCATCACGTGATTATACAACCATTTATGCATTTTCTGTGGCCTCACCGTGTCTCCCGAAATTCACACGTTGAAAGCTTAATCCCCAAGGTGACAGTGTTAGGAGATGGGCCTGATGGAAGGTGTTTAGGTCATGAGGGCTCTTAGGTGTTAATGCCACTATAAAGGTGCTTTCAGGAGTGAGTTCACTGTTTTCTGCTTTTCAGCCTTGTGAGGACATAGCATTCTGGGGATTCTGCTAAACATTCTACAATATATGGGATGATCCCTCACAAAAAGAATTATCCAACCCAAAATAAGCAGGATTTTACTCTAGTTAGAAGAGGAATTCAGCCTTTTTCTGTGATGAGTGGAGCTACTTTCCGTGTTTGTCTCCATGCTTGCTGCTCAGTGTCATTTCAAGTTCCTCTTCACTCAGTGCCCCCAGCACCCTCCCCAGCTAGTAGCCCACTTTCACTAATGAGCAATTCTTTACTTTAGCTTGGGGACAAATACTGCTGCTGCTTCTGCTGCTGTGTGTGAGGGAGTGGAGGGAAGGAGCTTGAGAGCCCTGCTGTCATGAAGTCGGTCATGTACTCTCAGCAGCAGTTTATGAGGGTTCTTCTTTCCCATATCCCCACCAACACTTCACAGCAACAACCTTTAAATCTGTTGCCAGTCTGATGGGTGCAAACTGGTATCTCAGTGTCAGTTTAATTTGTGTTTTCTTAATTAATGATGATTTTGTTTTCATTTCGTTTTGAGATGGAGTTTCACTCTTTTTGCCCAGGTTGGAGTGCGATGGCACGATCTCAGCTCACTGCAACCTCCGCCTCCCGGTTCAAGTGATTCTCCTGTCTCAGCCTCCCGAATAACTGGGATTACAGGCACACGCCACCACGCCCAGCAAATTTTTTATTTTTAGTAGAGACAAGATTTCACCATGTTGACCAGGCTGATCTCAAACTCCTGACCTCAGGTGATCCACCCGCCTCGGCCTCCCAAAGTGCTGGGATTACAGGCATGAGCCACCGTGCCCGGCCAATTAATGATTTTGAACAGCTCTTTGTGACTGGTTTCTTTCTCTGAATTGGCTATGTACATCCTTTCCCATTTTTCTATTTGATTTCCTATCTTTATCTTACTGATTTGCAGGAGTTTATTGCATGCTTTGAATATTAGGTTGTTGACAGGTTTTTGTTGCAGGTATCTCTCATTTGTCTGTTTCTTATTTATAGTGTCAGCAATTTAACAGAATTTTGATTAAATTCATCAATTTTTCATCTGACATTTTATGCTTTTGAGATATTGTTTAAGATATTTTCCGCCTCCTCCAGTATCACAGAAGTACTGTTTTATGTTTCTCCTGTTGATGTTACAATTTTACCTTCCACATTTAGGACTTTGATCCATCTGGAGTCATTGCGAATGGTGTAACTTGGGATCCAGTTTAATTTTTTCCACATGTTGGTCCAGTTTTCCAAACACTGTCTACTAAGTGGTCTGTTTTACCCCATTACTTGTAGTGCCCCCTTTATCATTTATCCAGTTCCTTTATATACATAGGTCTTTCTCTTTCTCTGTACTCCCTTTCATTTTTTTTTCCTTTTTTGGAGACAAGGTCTCACTTTGCCGCCCAGGCTGGAGTGCAGTGGCGCGGTCTCAGCTCACTGCAACCTCCACCTCCAGGGCTCAAGTGTTCCTCCCGCCTCAGCATCCCGAGTAGCTAGGACTACAGACACGTGCTACCATGCCTGGCTAATTTTTAAATATTTTTTGTAGAGACAGGGTCTTGCCATGTTGCCCAGGTTGGTCTCAAACTCCTGGGCTCAAGCGATCTGCCTGCCTTGGCCTCCCAAAGTGCTGGGATTACAGGCGTGAGCCCCGGCGCCCGACCTGCACTCCTGTTTCTACTTCATGGGTTTATTGGGTCTTGTTCTGTTGTATTATTGTGGCTTTGTAGTATGTTTGCATTAGCTGGCTAGGGCTGCCATAAGAATGTGCCACAGAATGGGTGGCTTCAGCAACAGAAATTAATTTTCTCACAGTTCTGGAGGCTGAATGTCTGCGATCAAGGTGTCAGCAGGGCTGATTTCTTCTTAGGCCTCTTTCCTTAGTTTGTAGACGGCCGTCTTCTTCCTGTGTCTCCTCCTGTGTGTCCCTGTGCCTTCATTTTCTCTTCTCATAAGGACATCAGTCCTACTGGATTAGGGCCCACCCCTAATGACTTCATTTTTATCTTAATTACCTCTTTAAAGAGGTAATGTCTGTCTTTACCTTTATCTTCAAATACACTCACATTCTGAGATACTGGGGTTTAGGACTTCCACATATAAACTTAGGGTAGACACACTTCAACCCATAATAATGTTTTAATATGTAGTATAGCAATTATCCCCTCCTTGCTTTTCTTTTTAAAATACTGTCTGAGCTGTTTATAGGTTTTCATTTTTCCATAAATATTTTAGAAGAAATTGGTCTAGTTCCTTAAAAGAGTCCAGTTGGAATTTTTATTTAGGTTGAATAGAATGTATACATTAATTGGAAAAGATTGACATGTTTATAATGTTAATTCATATTCATTCAAGTTCGTGGAATATCTTTTAATTTATTTAGATTTTTTTTTGTACTTTAACAACAATTTCAACTTTTTCTTCATAGAGACTTTTGAATTCTTTGTTAAGGTATTCCCTTATATGTAAGGCTACCTTACATTTCTGGTTGCTGTTGTGAATGATAATTTATTTTCTATCACATTTGCTAGTTGATTATTATTAGAAATGCCATTGATTATTAGAAGTTGATTTTGTATCCGGCAAACTTATTAAACTCTTGTTAGTTTTATTAGTTTGCTTATTCTTTATTTTTTCCAAGTAGATGGACTATTGTCTGCAAATGACAGTTTTCTTTTCCTTTCTTTCAATACTTAAACATTTTAGTTGCTTTTGTTATCTTGTGGCATTGACTGGTAGATCTGATACTGTGTTAAACAGTGGACTGGATACTGTGAATCTTTGTTTTGTTTGTAGTTGTCTTCGTTATCTATTGCCATGTAACAAATTATCTCAAAATTTAGCAGCTTAAAACAGTAATAAATGTTTACTCTCTTATACAATTTCTTTGGGTCAAGAATTTGGTTTCAGCATAGTTGGGTGATTCTGATTGAGGATATCTCCTGAGGTTGCAGTCACAACGTCATCTGGGGCTGCAGTCATCTGAAGGCTTGACTGAGGCTGGAAGATCTGCCTCCCTGCTGGCTCACTTGCATGACTGTTGGCAGGAGGCCTCAGTCCCCTCCCGTGTAGACCTCTCCCTAGGGCTGATTGAGTGTCTTCAGGATGTGGCACTTAGCTTCCCCCAAAGTGAGTGATCCAAGAGAGCGTGACCTGTGTCAGAGCGAGATAGAAGCCTCAATGTCTTTTATCATCTAGTCTTGGACTTCACACTCCATCATTTACACAAGGTTCTATTGGGTATACAAGTCAGCCCTATTGAATGTGGGAGGGGACTACTTGAAGGTGTGAATATCAGGAGGGAGGGATTATGTGGAGGCCATTTTGGAATCTGGCTGGTACACCATTCTGAAAGAAAGTGCTTCTAAATCTCTGTTAAGAATGACATTCGTTATAAGTTGTGGATATATGACTTTTATCTTTAAAGAAGTTACCTTCTACTCCTGTTTTGTTGAGATATTTAAAACAAAAAAATTTATTAAGGACAGTTAAGGTGAGTGGGGCAGCAACCTCACAAGCAAATGAATGTGACAGGCCTGCACGCACAGAGCCACCTTTGGATCTCTACCAGATTCCTGTGTGATGAGCGGGAGGCATTGGCCCATCATGAACCCTCTGTAGCTGAAGAACTCTGCACAAACAGCCCTTTCTGCCTTGGGAGAACTGGCATAGCTATTTCACTTTTTTTCTTTTCCCTTGCAGTGTCCAAGACAAAGATTTTGGCCACAGGAGGAGCATCTCACAATAGAGACATCTTACAGGTAAGTGTTGGTAGTGGGCCCTATACCATGGCCTCTCCCATATCTGTTACTTCTTTTTTTTTTTTTTTTTGGTGCCAAATTTTTATTTGCCTACATGCACAGTACACTAAGAAAACTGAAGAGTAAATATACATTCTGATGCATGCTTTTCTTTTCTCTTTTCTTTTTTTTTTTATATTATATTTTATGTTCTAGGGTACATGTGCACAACGTGCAGGTTTGTTACATATGTATACATGTGCCATGTTGGTGTGCTGCACCCATTAACACGTCATTTACACTAGGTATATCTCCTAATGCTATCCCTCCCCCCTCCCCCCTCCCCACAACAGGCCCCGGTGTGTGATGTTCCCCTTCCTGTGTCCAGGTGATCTCATTGTTCAATTCCCACCTATGAGTGAGAACATGCGGTGTTTGGTTTTCTGTTCTTGTGATAGTTTGCTGAGAATGATGGTTTCCAGCTGCATCCATGTCCCTACAAAGGACAGGAACTCATCCTTTTTTATGACTGCATAGTGTTCCATGGTGTATATGTGCCACATTTTCTTATGTCTGCTACTTCTAAGAGCCAGAGACTCAACAGGAAGTACAGTCTCCATTCCCACTCCTGCAGGAATGGGGAGTTCTTGGCTCACACTCTCCAGGAAGCAGCTCTGTTGCCTTACAGCTCACACTGTGATGGGATCTGTCTCACATGCAGGTGAATTCTACGGCTGTGTACAATCCACTGTCTGACACCAGCATGTCCTCTGGAGTCACATGGAAAGTGCCTGTTCTTCCACATGGCAAACCTTCTCACATCTAATGCCAGGGTTCTTGTCTTCCTCCAGGCCTCTGCCTTCCAATTTAACCATCGCTGATTCTCCAACTAGTCCTCTTGTAACACAGTTGCCAGACTGTTACTGTCCTTCTGGTCCTTCATTATGCCAGAAACATATGACCAAAAGTAGAATCAACCTGCAGATGTCTGACTCTCAGACTGTCACCTGTGGGTCTGTCAGATCCTGTTATGGGGACATTGTGCATTTTTGGGTGTAGCCTGGGGCTGCCTTAACTGTTAGAGTAATTGTATTAGCTGTTTACTTGTGATTACCTATCTTGGGTAAGATTTTCTAGAAACAAAGCCTGAAATGGGAATTCTTCTCTGAGCAGTTCGTTGAGAGAGTACTCCCAGGAAGAAGGAAGTGTGGGACTCAGGGTAGTGCAGAGGAAGAAGGATAAGTGAGGATATCGTCTTGTCTGGAGTCTACTTCCCCTCCATCTTGGTGGGGAGATAGGGCTCTAAAACATGAATTATACCACAGAGCTGGTTTTACCTTGCAACAAGGGGCCAACAGGACACCTTAGGGAGGGTGAATAAATTTCCTGTGAGCAGTGGCCTATGCTAAGCCAAGGTCAGCTTTCTTGAGGAAGTAGTGCTGCAAGCCATTAGTAGCCAGTACTCACAGCAGCTGGGGCGGGATGCACAACGGTCCAGTGAGGGGGATCTGTGTAGGCATCAGTGGCATCTACTACAATATCTCTGGTCAACTAAGACCTCCCGCAAGTTCTTCCCATGTGAACTCCTCTTAGTACAGGTCCTCCATTTGAAATGTGTGCAATTTATTTTTGAACCTAAATGGGAAACTTCACCACTATCACCTTGAAACATGCCCTTGTTAGTTTGGGTTTGTTTGGGCTTGTTAAGATTAGTCTAATACCCAGCTGTCTCCAGCCCTAGGTCGGTGCCATTTGCTAAGCATACTTCCTAAATCTTCTGCTGTTTTTGGTGAAATGGCTAAAAAGTACAGGGACAGCCTGGGGAGCTGTGGCCCTCCACTAGGGACTTTCCCCAGGTCATCCTGACTATTATCACCAGGGTAGCATGACCAAGCGTACTCCTCTTAAGGCAGTCGAAGTGGAATGGAAGGGGGTCAGAAGACATATGAGGGAGAGAGCTTGGAAAGTGCATCCCACAACATCTGTGTTCCCTCTGAGGAGTGGCTCACCACAGTAGAACCTCTGTGTCCTTTTCAGGTGCTTGCAGATGTGTTTGGTGCCCCGGTGTATGTTATAGACACTGCCAACTCAGCCTGTGTGGGTTCTGCATACCGAGCTTTTCATGGTAGGTCGATGGAGGGAGACAGCTGTCTCTGGAAGTGGCCAGGACATGGGGTGGGCTGAGGAGGGTGGAAGGGGGAGAGTGAGGTGTTCCCAGTCTTTGGGGACATTGGAGTCTTGGGGACTTCAGCTTCATTTTTCTAGCACCCAGCAGATGAGAGCCAACCCATACTCTCTTTTCCTTTATTCTTTGCTTAAAGTGGGGAAAAAGAGGCTGAGTCCTAACTGAATGAAGTCTGGTCAGAGTTAAGGGCAGCACCGGGACACGGGAAAAGAACACAGGGCATGGCTGAGGGCACGTGGGCATGGGTCTGGACAGCTAGAGAGCAGGAGAGGTGGACGAAGTCCAGAGCCGTCTTTTCAGCAGAACAAAAGTTGAAACAAAGGTGAAGACTTCAGGCCCAAGCAGTCCAGGACCCTGGACAGCGCCATGGAGCCCTGTTGCCCTGATGGAGGCCTCGCTGAAACTCTCGGCATTAAGGGAAGCTCCCTGATCTAGGCGAGTTCTGGCGGGAGCAGCACATACCCGCAAGGGCATTCATCCTTCAAGTTGGATCAATTTGCCCTACCTCCTGCCTGTTCAGGGAGCTCCTGTAGCAGCCCAAGTGGTTCTATTCTTTTCATGTTCTTAACTTTTTAACATACCTATTTCAGCTTATATATTTCTTTTCTTTTTTCTTTTTTTCTTTTTTTTTTTTTCTGAGACGGAGCCTTGCTCTGTCACCCAGGCTGGAGTGCAGTGGCTTAATCTCCGCTCACTGCAAGCTCCAACTCCTGGGTTCACACCATTCTCCTGCCTCAGCCTCCTGAGTAGCTGGGACTAGAGGCACCAGCCACCACGCCCAGCTAATTTTTTGTATATTTAATAGAGGAGAGGTTTCACCGTGTTAGCCAGGATGGTCTCGATCTCCTAACTTCGTGATCCGCTCTTGGCCTCCCAAAGTACTGGGATTACAGGTGTGAGCCACCACACCCGGCCTAAGCTTATATTTTTCTATCAACGTTGAGAATTAATCAGGCAACATATCCTTCTCTTAATAATTAACCTTGGCGGGGTGTGGTGGCTCATGCCTGTAATCCCAGCACTTTGGGAGACCGAGGCAGGTGGATCACAAGGTCAGGAGTTCGAGACCAGCCTGGCTAGTATGGTGAAACCACGTCTCTACTAAAAATACAAAAATTAGCTGGGCATGGTGGCACACGACTGTAATCCCAGCTACTCAGGAGGCTGAGGCAGGAGAATTGCTTGAACCTGGGAGGCAGAGGTTGCAGTGAGCCGAGACTGCACCATTGCACTCCAGCCTGGTTGACAAAGCGAGACTCCATCTCAAAAAAAATAAATAATTAATTAACCTCTTACCCTTTTATTCTCTCCCCACCCCGTCTACCTCACCCCGCCTCATGCCACATCCTATATCAAGATCACTTGGGAATTTATTTCCAGATTCTTATATTAAATACATTTAACATCATATTGGCTTTTATTCACACTTACCCATGAGTCTGCCCGCCTTTTTTCGTTCGTTCGTTCGTTTGTTCCTTCCTTCCTTCCTTCCTTCCTTCCCTCTTTCTTTCCTTCCTTCCTTCCCTCCTTCTTTCCTTCCCTCCTCCTTCCTTCCTTCCTTCCTTCCTTCCTTCCTTCCTTCCTCTGTTTCTTACTTTCTCTTTTTTTTAAAACTTCCTGACATTTCGGCCAGGCGCAGTGGCTCACACCTGTAATCCCAGCACTTTGGGAGGCCAAGGCGGGCAGATTATAAGGTCAGGAGATCGAGATCATACAGGCCAACAGAGTGAAACCCCATCTCTACTAAAATACAAAAAAAAAAAAAAAAAATTAGCTGGGCATGGTGGCACATGTCTGTAGTCCCAGCTACTCGGGAGGTTGAGGCAGGGGAATAGCTTGAACCTGGGAGGTGGAGGCTATAGTGAGCTGTTGCAGTGAGCCAAGATCACGCCACTGCACTCCAGCGTGGCGACAGAGCAAGACTCCATCTCAAAAAAAAAAAGAAACAAACAAACAAAAAACTTCTTCTTTCTCCTTTATTTCTATGCTGAGGTTTTGTTTTGTTTTGTTTGAGACATGGTCTCTGTTGTCCAGCCTGGAGTGCAGTGGTGTAGTCATGGCTCACTGCAGCCTCCACCACCTAGGCTCAGGTGATCTTCCCACCCCCACCTCAGCCTCCCAGATAGCTGGGACTACAGGCACACACCACCACACCTGGCTAATTTTTGTAGAGATAGGGTTTGGCCATGTTGCCCAGGCTGAACTCGAACTCCTGGGCTCAAGTGATCCACCCACCTCAACCTCCCAAAGGGCTAGGATTACAGGCATGAATCCTAGTGCTACAATTACCGCATCCAAGCTGTGTGGTAGTTTTGTTGGAATATATGACCTAAATAAATATTGTAAGAGAGAATTCAATAGGTGATGGTTTTGAGGCCTGACATGTCCAACAAGTCCTTTTGTTTCATCCTCTCAAAGATTGCCTGGGCAAAAGACTCTATGTTCAAAATACTTTTCCTGAGAGCTTTGAAGATACTCTTCCATAATCTTCTGGCCTTCAGGGTGGCTAAATAGAAGTATGGGGTCCGCTTCATAATTATTTTGTGGAAGTGGGAAAGGAGTTGCCCTTTAAGGACTTCACTGCTATCCTGCACTGTGTTTTGTTTTGTTCGTTTTCCCTTTCTGTGCTTGCCAAAGGGTACCTGGGCCACTGCCCTGCTCTGCCCTCCAAAACCAAAGCCTGAGCCAAATCTTAGCTCACTGGTCCCCACCCAGAGGGTTACTAACCGCTTCATTTAGAGATCTCTTCTCCCCAGCTGGGCCTGGGGATGACTGTCTTGTGTAGCGTCTGCGAGTATGAGTAGAGATGGGACTAGAGTCTTCTCTTGCTGTCCACCCCACCACCATCCCAGTCCCACACCCATTCTGCTCTGAGCTGGAATTTTCTAGCATTTGGTTAGGAAAACTGCTCCTCACGTCTTCAGAGGGCCCTTCTTCACTCCTGGTGGTGGTGTGTTTCTCTGTCTATCTGACGCTACTACTTACCTTGCCTAGAAATTGCTCATTGTTTCTTGCCCACCAATGGCAACCTTCCCCCTGCTACTCATTTGCTTCGTGAGTAATTATTGAGTCCCTTTTGTATACAGATGGTGTGCTAGGCACCATGGTTATAGTGGTGACCCAGAGAGACACGATGTCTGGCTTCGTGGACTTTACAGCTCAGCCAAAGAGGGATCTTAAGCCAATACTCACTGAAACATATGGCACAAGTTGGGAAAAGTGCTCTGAGGAAAAGCAGATGGTGCTGAGGGCTAAGGAGGGCCTCTTGAACAAGTGATGGTTCTAGGTGCATCTTAGCTGAGGAGAAGGGAACGGGCGTGTGAAGAGTGGAAAGAACATTCTGCACAGTGAAAAGGCTCTGAGGCAGCATGAGTGGAGAGGAGACCAGGCTGTCCAGAATGTGGTGAACGAGGGGAGAGAGGAGGGGCAGGCAGACCCTTCCCCATCATATGTTGAGGTTACCTGGCCCATTCCATGAAAGGCACAACCACAAAGGGCAAGACAAGCTAGGTCCTGCTGGAGACAAGCCTGCGCTTGGCATTTTTTTGTTTTGTTTCGTAATTTTATTGAGGTACAATCTATATGACATAAAAATCATACATTTTAAGTGTCCATTGATTTTTCATAAATGTACTGAATTGTGCAACCGTCACTATAATCCAGTTTTAGAAGAGTTTGCCACCCCAGTGAGATCCTTCATGGTGTTTATGGTTAACGTCTTCATTTGCAACATGCACTAACGTGAAGTGAGTTTTCCCTTCTAGGTCTTGCAGGTGGAAGAGATGTGCCCTTTTCAGAGGTTGTGAAGTTGGCTCCAAATCCCAGACTAGCTGCTACCCCAAGCCTGGGAGCTTCTCAGGTGAGAGACCGTCGGAATTTGTTTATAACATTTGCATTATGAAAGCTCGCTAGGGTTTTTCCCCCACCAACAGGTCACCTACATTGAACTTGATGTGCTCAACAAAAGGAGAAATTCCGCTTTATTGAAATCATCAAGAAAACGGAGCAAAAGAGCCAGGTTGTCTGCTGCAAGTTACAGATGCTGCTGATTTTACAGCAAGGGTCAGGTGGATTGCTGGGCCTATTTTTATTGCTTCGTATGCCCCACGGTGGGCCCTTCCATGTCACTGGGCTATAAAAGCTACTGAAAGGGTCTGTCACTGAAACTCAAGACATGCTGGATTTCTAGCACTCAAATCTCAAGTCTAGACCCAAGATAGCTGTGCAGTCACCCAGGCCAGGAAACCCCTGTGAAGGCAGACCTCGCTTGTTGCAGGTTGGGTTCCTCAGAAAGCAGAGTCTGAGATGTCAACTAAGATATATGAGGTTTATGGGAGTGGGAGGAGTTGCTCTTGGAATCCACAACTGTAGAAAGGAAAGGGAGTAGACAGGATTGGACAGAGGGAGAAGGTGAATGGCCGTGCAATTTCTGGAGCCTAAGCTATTCCTACAGAAAGCTCTGAAGCTGAGGTGACCTTTAGAGTTTTATCCAGTTGCGCTAAGGGGCTGGGCCTTTATACCCCATGTCAATCAGTCATCACATGTGGGCCACCCCAGGAGGGGGTGAGGCAGCTCTTTGTAGCGAAAGCAGTCTCCAAAGCGGGCAGCTGAGGGCTGTCTGCCAACAGCACTCCCAGCAGTTGGGAGAATAAGTTCTTCGTTCCTGAGGTGAATCTGGATGGTACCCACAGCATCCGCCACACCGCTGTACCTGCTTGCAGAAGGGTCTGGCAGCCCAGCAGCAGGGGTGGGTGCATCTTGTAAGGAACTGTGAAGGCTCTGACATTTACCTGACTTGCAAGCTAACAGGTGAGCCTGCCAGTTTTGTAGCGGCAGGCAGAAGACACAGGACTCCTGGATCAGAGACAAAGGGCTTTATGATGATGAACCGTGATGAACTCATGGTTCATCAGGAAGCATGAACTTCATGCTTGCATCAGTTTCCCTTGGCCTCCAAATTCCACAGGGTGATGCAAAGTGGGCCCAGGTGGATACTGTGCACATAATAGGCTGTGATACAACCAAATGATCCCGAGCATAGAAAACTCCCAACCTTGTAAAGGAACTGCGAGCAAACCTGCCCAAACTTTGCCACCAAAGGAGACATTATCCTTATTATTCTTGTCAGCAAACAGACAAACACTCTCTCCAGTGTCTCTGCCCTGGAGACACTGTCTATATGTCTCTATGCTTTACAAACATCCTTGAAAAGATAGTCTGAAACGAAAGCTATCACAAGACATGTAGAAACACCATGGAGAATTGTCTCCCAGCATACCTTGGAAGTAGGAACTCATGCTGTCTAGGAGACCCAGACAAACCACACACACAGGTGTGCCCAAGCATCTGTGATTTTTCTGTTGTGTGTGAGAGACCACTTTTCTCTTACGTTTGAGAGGCCACTGGATACACTGAAAAGATTCGATGTCGAGATAAAGGGCATTTAAGTTCTGATTTTTATTCTGCTTCTCCTTCACCATGAGACCTTAAGCAGCACTCCTTGTCTCTAGACCTTTGTTTTTTATCTGTGAAGTGGGTACAACATCTGTCCTGCCTCCCTTTCACCTACTAATTGTGAGGCTTAAAAACAATCCTTGATCGAAATGGCATTATAGTCTAACAGGAAATCTGGAGGTAGAATTGGTTCAGTTGTTCAACATGAGAACTCTGGTCATGTTCCCTGCAATTCCTCAGGTCACAGTGGACAATGGGAACATAATGTGAGGCACATATGTCATTTAAAATATTCTGGTTGCCTCATTTTTAAAAGTAAAAATAAAAAGAAATGCTTAAAATTAATTTTAATAATACATTTTATTTAATCCACTATATCTGAAGTATTGTCATGTCAACATGTAATAAATAGAAAAGTTACTAATGTGGGGCTGGACGCAGTGGCTCACACCTGTAATCCCAGCACTTTGGGAGGCCGAGGTGGGCAGATTGCTTGAGCCCAGGAGTTCAAGAGCAGCCCGGGCAGCATGGCAAAAACCCCGTCTCTACAAAAAATAAAAAAATTAGCTGGGTGTGGTGGTGCATGCCTGTAATCCCAGCTACTCTGGAGGCTGAGGTGGGAGCATCACTTGAGCCCAGGAGGAGGTGGAGGTTGCAGTAAGCCAAGATCACACCACTGCACTCCAGCCTGGGCGACAGAGACCCTGTCTTTAAAAAAAAAAAAAAGTTACTAATATGATATTTTACATTTCCTTTTTTGCACGAAGCTTTTGAAATTTGGTGTGCATTTAATACTTACAGTTCTGGGCATGCTTCAAGTATGCAAAGGTATACATGGCTTGTGGCTACTGTGCTGGATAGTGCAGCTCTGGGTGTGCTCACATGGTGGGAGGATGGCTGTAGCTGCCCCAAACCTCATGTCTTCACAGCTGTGTTCAAAGGCAGGGGTCATAGGGTGACGCTGGGCAGACAGCCTCTCCTCACACCCTCTTGCTCATCAGGGAGGACAATACTGGCCTATCCCTCCCCTACCCCACACACCCCAACAGGCTACCACTTGGTCATATATGGTCAATTCTGATTGTAGGAAAGGCTAGGGTAGGGTCTGGCTCTTTCATTCTATCTGGAAGGAGGCCAGCAAGGAGGAAGGTAATTGGGGAAAGGTTTAGGGCAGCACAGCAGCATCTGCCTCATGTAGAGTATGGAGTGGCAAATCCTCGGAGCTGTGTCCCCTGAGCTGGTGAGAGTGCCTCATCACTCTCCCTGGCCTGCCCATGGCCAAAATCACTGACAACTCGTGGAACCCTTTACCGTTGTTGGATCCAAATCCTCAAAAGCCCTCCCAACAGCGGGTTGCAAGCAGTGACAGTCTACGTGATTGTCAGCATACACAACTTATATGCAGACTGCATTTGTGGACTAGAGTTAAACTCCTTGAGAGCAGGGCCACATCCTTCATTCTTTCTGTGGCACCAACAGCACTGCTTGTGCTCAAGCGGAAACTCAAAGCAGTAAGCATGTTTTCTCCCTTGGCTCAAATTGCAGTTTTCTCCATGGGGAGAAATCAAAGCCCCTTACCTTTGTTCTCTGACTTCTTAATGTCCAGTACAGGCTAGGACAACCTTAGGCTCCTCGCCTGTGGGCCTCTTTATAAAGGGTCACCTGTTATCTTTTGCTTTATTTTACTCATGGGGTCTATTCCCAAGTACTTCACAAACACATAGTTCACAGGGTAGAACCAGAACATCAGCTGTGTCACCCTCATTTGGAAGAGCAAAGGAATTTATCCTGCTAAGCCCTTCTAGGCAGCACAGACTCATCGTGGACTTCGAAGCCAGCAGGCTCCCTCTCTCTGGCTCTGACACCCCGTGTAACTGTCCCTGAGCCTTCGCAGACAGAGCTGCTGCAGCTGCGCCACGAGTAGGCCCCAGTCGCATAGTGAGTTGTTAAAATGCTTGACTTCCAGCTGGGCGTGGTGACTCACGCCTGTGGCGTGGTGACTCACGCCTGTCGCATAGTGAGTTGTTAAAATGCTTGACTTCCAGCTGGGCGTGGTGACTCACGCCTGTAATCCCAGCACTTTCAGAGGCCGAGGCGGATGGATCACCTGAGGTCAGGAGTTACAAACCAGCCTGGCCAACATGGTGAAAACCCGTCTCTACTAAAAAAGAAAAAACACAAAAATTAGCCGGGTGTGGTGGTGCACACCTGTAGTCCCAGCTACTCGAGAGGTTGAGGCATGAGAATCGCTTGAAACTAGGAGGTAGAAGCTGCAGTGAATCAAGATTGCACCACTGCACCTCCAACCTGGGTAACAGCGAGACCCTGTCTCAAGAAATAAAAAAACACAACTTAACTTTGGAGCAAATTAAACTAAATTAAGAAGGAATGGGGTTGGCATGAGCTCCTGCTTATGTTTACTTGCGAGTCCCAGGAAAATCCAGGTCCTTGGTCTTCAGTGTTGTTTGTCTGTGAGACAGCATGTGCTCACCTGAAGTGCATCTGCATTTCTCAGGTAAGACGGACAGCCACTGGGAAAACTGCTGAGGGGGTTAAAAGAAGGGTAAGAATGTGGGCTTGTGCTTCTTTTTGGTCTTTTTTCTCTGTTGGACTTTTTGTTTGTTTTGGCTTATAAGGAAGCACACTGTATATATAATTTTGTAGCTTCTTTAAAATTTCTACATTACAACATAAATATTTCATTCTTAAAAATGTATGTGCATACCATTTTTAATGACTGTATAATATTCTGTCTGGGTCGACCAGGCATGATGGCTCATACCTATAGTCCCAGCACTATGGGAGGCTGAGGCGGGAGGATCACTTGAGGCCAGGACTTGGAGACCAGCCTCATCGCTACCAAAAAAAAAAAAAAAAAGTCTGGCAAATTTTTCGCCAGAATCACAATTTACTTGAGCATTTTCCATGCCTTAGCACAGTTTTTAGTTTTACAATTATAATTAAGTCTTCTTAAATAAAGGATTAAAAAAAAAACTTTCCTATTCTACATGCGAATTTAACCTTTGGTTAACTTTCTAGCTCTTTTTTCCTTGAGATCTCATAAAAGTGGAATATCAACAGTTTTACTAGGCAACATTGCTTTTGTAAAGATGGCCTTTGCTTGGGAAACTGCATCTGAACTGAGAAAACTGTAACTACCTGGTGAGAAGTCTTCCTCAGGGCCTCCTTGAGTACAGTGACTCCTCCTGGACATGCCTCTTACCTACTAAGCTGTTACAGGAGATACTTTTGTAGTGCATATGAGGTTTTGAAGCCAGGGTCATTCTTTTGTCTGTATGATGTGGATCTCAACTCTTTTTTTTTTTTTTTTTTTTTTTTTTGAGACGGAGTCTCACTCTGTCGCCCAGTCTGGAGTGCGGTGGTACAATCTCAGCTCACTGAAACTTCATCCTCCTGGGTTCAAGTGATTCTCCTGCCTCAGCCTCTCGAGTAGCTGGGATTACAGGCGCCTGCCACCATGCCCAGCTAATTTTTGTATTTTTAGTAGAGACGGGGTTTCACCAGGTTGGTCAGGCTGGTCTTGAACTCCTGACCTCAGGTGATCCACCCGCCTTGGCCTCCCAAAGTGCTGGGATTACAGGCATGAGCCACCGCACACAGCCAGATCTCAGCTCTTTCTGCCTGGGCTGTAACCTGGTTGGGAGGCAAAGAGACCCTCTTCGGTACAACTGTGTGAACTGCTGTATCAACTGCTACATGGTCTTCCACTGAGAGGAGCACCTGCCGCCACTGTGTTTCTCCAGGCTGTCTTCCCTTGGCTCATGGTGGTCTTATACATCTGAATGTTCAATGGTATCAAAGAAGACCCTTGGCAGACTTGGCATCCTATGTTTAGGATTATTTCCTTAGGAGAGCTTCACCAAAGTAGAATAACTGGGTCCCACACTATGGGCTCCTTAATACAGATATAAAGTCAAGCCTATTTCCCAAAGAGTTGTATCACCAACTTTCACCAGCTGTGCAATGAGGCAGCCATTTCTAGGTACTCTCACCAGAATTTTTTAAAACTTTTGTAGATTTGATCATAAAAATTAGTTTCTTGTCATAATTTATAGTTTAAAAATATCTTAAACTACAGATTTGAGAACTCCTAACATTTCCTCTTTTGTGAATTGATGCTTTCTTTCTTTTGCCCAGCAAAAAAGTTAAATTGCAAGTAAACAAAATTTAAAAATTTTAAATTGCAAAGTGCAACCAGATGTAAGAGGCATTTCCCCTCTCCCTGTTCTAAACTGCTTTTTCTGCTCTTCTAGGTCTATGAGGCCCTCCTCCCCCAGTATGCCAAACTCGAGCAGAGAATCTTGTCTCAGACCCGGGGGCCTCTGGAGTGAACAGGCATCCTTGTTGCCCCTGCCTGCCCAGATTTACTGACCCCACTTGGAGACATGGCCCCGGACAGCAGGGATCCACTTCCCTGTTCTGAACAGCTCTTCCTGCCTCTGCTGACTCCTTGGAGTGTCCAGGACCATTTTAAAGCCGTCTTCAGCACATCTGCCTGAAGATAGATAGGCACTCGTGTCCTTGTGCCCATGTGCCCGTGTGCCCAAGGGCAGGAAAACATCTCTCTTTTCCTGTCTTTTATCCCAGGAGGCAGGACAACACTGAGACTGGGATATATCTGATAAAAACTATGACTTTTCCCCTTGTAGAGGCAGAATTAAAGCTAATCTAGGGACTCAAATTAGCAGAATGGGGGAGACAAAGCCCTGTCTCACCCCCTAACCTCATCCTATCTCTTTCTCCAACCCTGACTCTCTGCCCACTCCTCCCCAAACCATGACCCACAGCCGCCCCCACCCCATATCTTGATCCTACCTTCCATCCTCTCCCCCAATCCAAACCCCACAGCCTCTTCTCTCCCACACCCTGCCCTCCTTGTTTCAGCTGTCTGAGGTGCCTCCCAGAGCCTCTCTTATTTGCCCTATGCTCACCCTCTCCATGCTGTCCCCATTCTCTCCTTTCACCATCTGTTCTCTCCCCCTCCTTCATCTCCTCCCTCCCCAAACGCACCTGGCATAATTCACAACCTCCCACCCAAACGGTGGGCCTGGTGGACGTGCTTCCTGTGCCCTCCTTTTAGCTGTTCCCACAGATCACTGAGAGGGACCATCTCCCAAGTGGCACAGTTTAGAACTTCTCTCTCTTTTTCTCCCTCATTCCCTCTCTCTTCTTGCAGTCCACTTGTTGAAGAAGTTGTGTCATTTCTCTGGAAGAATTTCCCAAATTCTGGATTTCTTTTTTATATTGGAGTATTTCATCAGCTGAAAAGTTGTGATTCTCACTTTGAGTTTTCTTCCTGTATTTGTACAGTGAGTTCCTTTTTCCTTCCTCTTTATCCCTCCTGTTTTACTTTATACCTCTCTATTCCTTGCTCAAATTATTGCAAAAGCCTCCACAGAAAGTCCTCTGTGATCTGACTCCTGCAGACTCTTCCAGATTTTTCTTCTGCCCCAGGTCTTTACTGAGCTCAGGACTCCAGCTAAATCAAAATACTCATGTTCTCACCCAGAGTGACAAAATCCTGCAGATAGGTTTAAGACCTGGTGGATCAGAGCAGTAGCTAGTGGGAAGTTAAAAGGAAGGGGCTTAGAAAATGAGTGGGATCAAAGGCATCACTTCTGATGGAGATGAAGCCATCTTGAAAGGGAGTGGTGTCCTTTGGAGGCATGGTGGACGAAAGGGGGCAAAGGAAGCAAGAGGCTAAAGATAACGGCCCGTTAGATACGACAGCAAGGCCAAGATTCCGAAGAAGACAGACAACTCCCCCTAGATGTTACTTTTTAAAGACATTTTACATTATTGGCCAGCAGAAAAAAGGCTGTCTTGGAGCATGAAACAGTAAACTGTAACAAAACACTTCAACATGAATTTGAAAATAAATAATTGTGGATATAAAAGGACACCAGAGATCAGAAATTCAAAACCTCAGAATAAAAATGAAAAAGCTACAAGCATATAAGAGAAGAGAACTGACTGAACTTGGGAAATAATTTGAACAAAAAGATAAGTCATCACAAATATGAATACTAAATTATACTATATCTTAATGAAAATAGATATGGTCACAAGTACATTAAGGCACGTAGAAGGTAGGAGTAAGAAAAGCTAAGAGAAACAAAACAAACAAAGCAATATTAAAGAAAGAGCCAAAAAGACCCAGAAATAAAATGATAGATAAAGAAGATTGGCAAAGAAAAGATGATACAGGTAAAATTGGAACTCATGAAGACAAAAGATAAGACAGTGGAATAGAGTTAATATTTAAAATTCAAATATTAAAACTCAAACCCAAAAGAACTTTCTGAAAACAAAAGAAAACCTGAAACTTTATCTTGAAAGGGTCTATCTTGTTACTTCGAATATTGACCCAGAATGATGAGCTCTGAGACATGTCCTGCCAACTATACTTTGAAGCCAAAGGAAAAGAACTATGTAAGCCTCTAAGCCAAAAGACCTAGTCTCTTACAAAGGAAAGATCTGGTTGGCCTCAGACTTCTCAACAAAGCGAGATAGCAATGGGGCAACCTTTCCAAGAAACTCAAAGAAAGCATGAACTGAGGATTTCATATTTCTCCAAGCTGTCCTTTAAGTATCAAGGATATAGGAAGAAGTTTTAATTACACAAGAACCCAGGGACTATTGTACCCACAACGTCTTCCTTAGAATTCTACTAAAAGACAAGCTTCATCCAACTAGGAGATGATTGGGGAAATGAGCAAAAGGACTGGTCGTGACCCTTGAATATCTTTGGTTGTAGACCTGAGACCAAATGGAAGTGGGGATAAGGGTGGAAGAACAGTGTTACTCTATTCTCACACTGCTATAAAGATAGTACCCAGCCGGGCATGGTGGCTCATGTCTGTAATCCCAGCACTTAGGGAAGCCAAGGCAGAAAGATCACCTGAGGTCAGGAGTTTGAGACCAGACTGGCCAACATGGTGAAATCCCGTCTTTACTAAAAATACAAAAATTAGCTGGGTATGGTGGTGCACCCCTGTAATCTCAGCTACTCAGGAGGCTGAGGCATGAGAATTGCTTGAACCTGGGGGCAGAGATTGCAGTGAACCAAGATCATGCCACTCCAGCCTGGGTGACAGTGAGACTGTGTCTCAAAAAAATAAAAAATAAATAAAAATAGTACCCAAGACTGGATAATTTATAAAGAAAAGAGGTTTAATTGACTCACAGTTCCACATGCTGGGGAGGCCTCAGGAAACCTACAATCATGGCAGAAGGTGAAGGGGAAGCAAGGACCTTCGCATGGTGGCAAAAAAGAGGGAGCATGAACGCACACGAGAGCAAGCAGGGAAAACTGTCTTATAAAACCATCAGCTCTCGTGAGAACTTACTATCATGAGAACAGCATGGGAGAAACCACCCCCATGATCCAGTCGCCTCCCACCAGGTCTCACCCTCAACACCTGGAGATTACAATTCAAGATGAGATTTGGGTGGGGACACAAGTTCTAATCACATGAAATAGTATCAAATGGTATATGCTTTGACAAGATAGAAGTAACAAAAAAGAAGGGAGAGAGGAAGAGGAAAGTACGAAGAACTCCTTGTTGCTTAGGCAATATGTAGAAGTCAAAGAGCATTATTTAAAGTTGACAAAACAAGTATATGAAGTGTAAGTAAGGAAAAGAAGATTTAGAGCATTAAAGGTGTACTATACTATTTAAAGTAATAGTATAGAATACATAGTATAATTACTAGAATAAAAATGTAAATCTCCAATGCTCAAAGAAATAATAATAAAGGCAGTAGATTACAGTGAAAAACATACAGTGAAAAAAGGCATAGATTACAGTGAAAACATGCCATCATACAGTAAATATATTAAGTCCAAGCATGTAAGTTAAATCAGTACATGTGAAAGGACTTACCTATTAAAAGGAATATCAGATTGACTTACAAACCAATGTCTTATTGTCTGTTATTTATAAGAGACACATCTAAAATAAGTGATTCAGAGAAGCTAAATAAAAAGAGATGGGCAAAAATAGACTGGGCAAGTAGGACCACAGAAGACAAAGATTACAGTATCCATATCTGAAAAGGTAGAATTCAGGAAAAAATAGACAAGACAATGAAGGATACATTAAAATGCTAAAAGCCACAAGTCACAATGAGGATATACTACTTATGAGTGTTACAGCTTCAATTATCTGGTTTGTCAACTTTAAATGATATTCTTTGGCTCCCACCTATTGCCTGTACAACAAAGAACTCTTTGTACTTTCCTCTTTCTCTCTCCCTCTTTTTTCATTGTTTCCATTGTGTTACTTCTACCTTGTTAAAGCACATAACATTTGCATAACAAATTATGCAAGGAAAAATGAATAGAAACCTAGAAATAACAGAGAACTTTAAAACACCTCTGTCTCACCCAAGACTGAAGTTAAGGAGACAAAAAATACATTTAAGGATATAAGTGATCTAAATAACAGTATCTATAAAGTAGATCTAATGAATATATGTTGAACTTTCTACCTTGATAATAAAGAATACTCCTCTAGGGCAAGCGTGATGACTCACACCTGTAATCCCAGCACTTTGGGAGGCTGAGGCAGGTGGATCGCTTGAGCTCAGGAGTTCCAGACCAGCTTGGCCAACGTGGTGAAACCCCATCTCTACAAAAAAATACAAAAATTAGCCAGGCATGGTGGCAGGAGCCTGTAGTCCCCAGGAACTTATGACTCTTCTAGGAATCATAAGATTGTTGTCCCACAGCAGCCTCACACACCTGGCATATCAGTGATTAAACCCATAGGGTGCTATCTCAAAAATAATTGTGAGTGGGCTTTTGGTACGTAGACTCCAATAAGACACATAAAACCCACAGTACATTTTAGGAAGCTATACTAATGGCATTATCCAGGATTAAAAGGGACTAAATGTTAAAAAAAACCCTGGACCCCCAACTTTATATGGGCAGCAAGCAGGCACAGTTGCTCAAAAGACAGTTTCTAGGCTGAGCATGGTGGCTCACGCCTGTAATCGCAGCACTTTAAGAGGCCAAGGCGGGCGGATCATGAGGTCAGGAGTTCAAGACCAGCCTGGCCAAAATAGTGAAACCCCATCTCTACTAAAAATACAAAAATTAGCTGGGCATGGTGATACATGCCTGTGGTCCCAGCAGCTTGGGAGGCTGAGGCAGGAGAATCGCTTGAACCCAAGAGGTGGAGGTTGCAGTGAGCTGAGATCTCGCCACTGCACTCCAGCTTGGGCAACAGAGTGAGACTTCGTCTCAAAAAAAAAATAAAAAAATTGTATATGTATCAGCAGGTCAGGCATGGTGTCTCATGCCTGTAATCCTAGAACTTTGGGAGGCTGAAGCAAGTGGATCACCTGAGATCAGGAGTTCAAGATCAGCCTGGCCAACATGGTGAAACCCTGTCTCTACTAAAAATACAAAAAAAAAGTTAGGTGGGCGTGGTCGCAGACGCCTGTAATCCCAGCTACTCAGGAGACTGAGACAGGAGAATCACTTGAACCTGGAAGGCGGAAGTTGCAGTGAGCTGAGATGGCAGCACTGTACTCCAGCCTGGGCAACAGAGCAAGACTCCATCTCAAAAAATATATATATATATATATATATACACACACACACACACACACACACGTATCAGAAAAAAATGCAAATACACTTTAAGCATATTTTAAAATGCTTACTGACAAAAATCAAAGAGTTTGATAAAATTCTGTGTTACCATGACTGTGGAGCAATAGACATTCATATACATTTCTGGTAGGAGTGCAATTTTGTGAGACTCCTAAGGAGGGAAATTGGGCAACATCTAACAAAACTAAATATGAGTATGACTGAACCATTCCAATAGGAATCTGCACAAAGACACAATTCCAACATACAAGATAACGTATGTATAAGGTTATTGTGAAATTATTGATAATAGCAAAGTACTTGGGAAAAGGCAAATATACATTAATATAGGACAGATTGAATAGATTATAATGCATCCACAAAATAAAAAAGAATGAGGAAGATCTCTAGGTACCAATGAGGGGTAAATTCCAGAAACAAAGGACAGTTCTCTATTATTCTCTATTATTCTTTTTATTCCCCTTAACAAAGTTTTATAGTTTTTAGTGTATGTCTTACACATATTTTGTTAAATTATTTGATTTTTAAAAAAGATTTTGTGATGAAATGTATGACATTTATCATTTTAACCATTTTTAAGTGGAAAAGTGTTCATTGTTTCAATTGTTTTTACTAACATTTAGGAATATTCCATGGTATGTTGAATTATTCATTGGGAACATATAAAGATCAAATTCAGTAGCGTTAGGTATATTCACAATATTATGCTACCATCACCACCACACATTTCCAAAACCTTTTTATCATTCTAGGCTGCAGCTCTACTCACTAAACAATAACTCCTGTTTTCCTCTCCCCAGCCCTTGATGACCACTATCCTTTCTCTCTATGGATTTGCCTCTTCTAGGCTTTTCATATAAGTGGTATCATACATGTGTCCTCTTGTGTCTGGCTTATCCCACACACATGTAAAATAGTTAATGTTTTAATGTTTTAAATTTAAAGGTTCATTCACATTGTAGCAAGGCTGAATAATATTCTGCTGTCTTTATATACCACATCCTGTTTATCCATTCATCCATCAGTGGACATTTGAGTTGTTTTCACCTTTTGGTGATTGTAAATAATGCTGCTATGAACGTTGCTGTACAAACATCTGTTTGAGTCCGTGCTTTCAATTTTTTAGGTGTATACCTAGAAGTGAAATTGCTGAATCATACAGTAATTCTGTTTAACTTTTTGAGGACCCACCACAGTTTTCCACAGTAGCTGCACCATTTTACATTCCCAGCAGTAATGCACAGGGATCTAGTTTCTCTACATCCTTGTCAACACTTGTTATTTTTCTTTTTTTAAATATATATATAATAGCCATCCTTATGGATGTGAAGTGAAGTTTCATTGTGGTTTTGATTTGTGTTTTCCTAATGACTAGTGATGTTAAGCACTTTTCGTGTTCTTATTGGCCATTTGTACACATTTAATTGTTTTGATGCTGTTGGAAAAGTGTTTCATTTTTTCGATTGTTTTCGCTAGCATATAGGGATAGTCTATGGTATATGGAATTATTCGATGCTAACATACAAAAATCATTTTGTTTTTAGATGGAGTCTCGCTCTGTCATCAGGCTGGAGTGCAGTGGCGCGATCTCGGCTCACTACAATCTCTGCCTCCTGTGTTCAAGCGATTCTCCTGCCTTAGCTTCCTGAGTAACTGGGATTACAGGCACCTGCCACCATGCACAGCTAATTTTTGTACTTTTAGTAGAGACGGGATTTCACCATGTTGGCCAGGATGGTCTCAATCCCCCGACCTTGTGATCCACCCACCTTGGCCTCCCAAAGTGCTGGGATTACAGACATAAGCCACCACGCCTGGCCACAAGAATCCATTTTTGTTTGATTTTGTGTCTTGCAACTTTATTAAATTCACTTACTAGTTATGGTAGTATTTTGTATTAGTAGGATATGTAGGATTTCTATCCATCATGTCATGTCATCTGTAAAAACAAAGCCAGTTTTCTTCTTTTCAATCTGTAAGCATTTTATTTCATTGTCTTGCCTTCCTGCAACGATTAGAGTGTCTAGTATAGGGTTGAATGGAAGCAGGGAGAGCAATAATCCTTGCCTTGTTGCTGATCTT